TGGACATTCAATATAAATCAAGTCACCATAATCACAAAACATTTTCTCTTACTAATCTGAATCCCATGCAAGCAAGCATATTATTCTCCGTAAATTTCAAAATGGAGTCATCGCTACTACATCACTACTATTGACAATGATGATTATTTTCTCATATAGAGGGTTAAAAGAAAAAGAATTCCAGCAAAGAAAATAGCGTGTGGGTCTCAGCGAATACAATCCTCTGTCAGAACTCGTATTATACATTACATACTCACAAACAAATAACTGTACCAGATAAGAGACACTGCATCATATGAGAACTTTTGACAAAAGTACATGTAATTTCGAAGACAAAAGTAATGACATGATGAAGGTGCTGACTTTCCATGTACTTTAAACGAAAGGTTAAGCAGTAAAACCCCATAAACACTCTAAAGAGCAATAAAAGTTACTGGACTTTAGAAACCTGTTTACCTGAAAAATTGTTTTAAGAAAATGATTTTATAAATTTTCATCAAGACCAAAACTGAATGACGATAAACTACATCCAGCTACAAGGCTTCCGATTTGGAGGTATTGAGTTCTATAGAACAATCTCTTTATTTCTGTTGTTCCGAGGTCCACTTTGACCCGGGGTGGTAGCACCTGTTAAGGTCCCGACAATAGGCAAATAGTTGATCCCAAACTGGGGGGAAAATCTGATGAAAGTATAAAAAATTTTATAAAAATAACAGCGAACATATTAAAAAAATTACCAGCAATAGAATGTTGTAATAAATAAAGAAAAATTCCAGCAAGAGATTAGTGTAAGGGAAATAATATTACCAGAAATACATTTCTTATAAAATAAATTACTAATGATCCGAAGAAAATTAACTTTCGGCATTAAATGGCCCATAAGGAGTTGACATGCCGATAAACAATCAATACAATAAAACTGAATGCTTGTAAGGAAACGTTTAATATTACCATTAACGTATGTGCAAGCATTTGACAGAGAGTTAGAGAGATAAGGAGAGAAGTGGTGCATACAGATCTTGGTTTGGTTTAGTTTATTTTGTTTTACGGCATATCAACATCAATGAGTTATTTAATGTCGATAACATTTTTAGGGTAGATTCCTACGAATAGAATATGTATTCTTTGGTTTAGATTGGTTTGGTTTACTTTGTTTTACTGCATATCATCCTCAATGGGTTATTTAATGCCGACAAAATATTTTTGTTGCTGATTTTTTTTGTCAAAAATCTGTTTCTGGTAATATTTTTTCTTCAAAATTGTATTGCTGGTAATATTTTTTTCAAAGACGTATTGCTGATAGTAGTTAACTATTTACCCATAGCTGGGACCCTAACAGGTGCTACCACCCTGGACCAGATTGGTCCTGGGAACACCAGCAATTAAGAGTTGGTTCCACGCTACTCAAAACCTCCTGAGCAGAGGCCTTGCTGCTGGATGTAGTTTAACGTCTTACCCAGGACACAGCATACAGAGGATCGCCTTGCTTCAAATGATTTATAAGTCAGTCACAACAACATAAAAATATCTACTGTGCCCTCAAACAAGAATACATTTTATAAAACATACATTCACTGCCATGCTTTAAAGAATTTTTAACTGATTAAAGGAAGAAGTTTTTAAAGAAACTTTATAAATGTTTTTATTATGTGCTTAATTTCCTCAGAAAATTAATTTGAAAGTTTGCGGATATGCTTGAATTTGAAAATTCTACGTTCTTTTGCTCACATTGGTTATATGGACGTCACTTATTTTACAGCTTTTTTTTTCGTATATATGTGTGTACCTGTTTATCAATGTTGTTGTGTGGTCGTCCTCTGTATACATTATGGTGTTTTTGTATACGTTTAATTCATGAAATATTAGCGTAATTTAAAAGTCTATTAAAATAAGTGATATAATGAAATATGCGTACACCTGTGTTCCCCCTCACTGAGATATGATTGGCTGGTGTCCGTCATAAATATCGACGGACGTGTAGGGGAGTCAGGAGAGCCTTAGTATGAGAGTCTAAGTCAATAACGACACCCACTGGACTACGCCATTGATCTACACTTCTTACCTGCGACTACGACGCGTACCAGTCGATTACTGCTACCGTATTCTACTTGGTTATAGTAGCCAAAACCACTTAGCTACTTCGTTCAAATATATCTCTTTCCGGGACATATCAGATAGATAGATAGATAGATAGATAGATAGATAGATAGATAGATAGATAGATAGATAGATAGATAGATAGTGATATAATGGAATATGCGTACACCTGTGTTCCCCCTCACTGGAATATGATTGGCTGGTGTCCGTCATAAATATCGACGGACGTGTAGGGGAGTCAGGAGAGCCTTAGTATGAGAGTCTAAGTCAATAACGACACCCACTGGACTACGCCATTGATCTACACTTCTTACCTGCGACTACGACGCGTACCAGTCGATTACTGCTACCGTATTCTACTTGGTTATAGTAGCCAAAACCACTTAGCTACTTCGTTCAAATATATCCCTTTCCGGGACATATCAGATAGATAGATAGATTTTGGGATAGATAGATAGATAGTGATATAAATGGAATATGCGTACACCTGTGTTCCCCCTCACTGGAATATGATTGGCTGGTGTCCGTCATAAATATCGACGGACGTGTAGGGGAGTTTTAGAGCCTTTAGTCTGAGAGTCTAAGTCAATAACGACACCCACTGGACTACGCCATTGATCTACACTTCTTACCTGCGACTACGACGCGTACCAGTCGATTACTGCTACCGTATTCTACTTGGTTATAGTAGCCAAAACCACTTAGCTACTTCGTTCAAATATATCTCTTTCCGGGACATATCAGATAGATAGATAGATAGATAGATAGATAGATAGATAGTGATATAATGGAATATGCGTACACCTGTGTTCCCCCTCACTGGAATATGATTGGCTGGTGTCCGTCATAAATATCGACGGACGTGTAGGGAGTCAGGAGAGCCTTTCTGTATGAGAGTCTAAGTCAATAACGACATTGAACTGGACTACGCCATTGATCTACACTTCTTACCTGCGACTACGACGCGTACCAGTCGATTACTGCTACCGTATTCTACTTGGTTATAGTAGCCAAAACCACTTAGCTACTTCGTTCAAATATATCCGGGACATAACAATAAGATATATTAACTTATTCTAATTCTATGATAAATATGACAAAATTTGGAAGTTAATACGTATTTGTAGTAATATCCGTTTATCTTGTGAAGTATAGGTAGCACCCTCTTTGGTGGTGAAACTGGGATGACTTCTCCAGGCCGCAGGTAAAAGAGCATCACATTTGGGGCCGGCTTGGCTGCAGGAGTTACCGAAAATTTGTCTGTGTTGACAGCCAACCGCCTTTGGGGACCCGATCAGGTTTTTCTGTCTGGATTTAACTCCATAGTCCGTTTGGATATTACCATAAAGCAGCGGAGGTTTAAAATCAGGGTTTTCTTTTCCCTACAAGGACTGCTTTCCTGTACTGTTGTGTTCTATCTATCCGAAGTTTCTGGTTATGAGGCGCCAGTTTTTCGTCTTCGCCCATTCTCCGGCTTGGAGCTGGACAGTTGTCAGTCTATTTGAGACACACGTCACGGAAATATTCTATAGACAGTGGAAGTTTATACTCACTATCATCTACGACTACAACAATCTGAATGCGTAATACTAGGTTAGATAATAGATGATTGGAAAAGAGATTCTATAAGTATAAGTTTGATATATATGAATACTAGTGGTATGAAAAGTCCATTTGATGAATAGTTATGTATGGTGATTATTTATTTGAATTCCTTCCATGTATTCTCTCTGCCATAGTCGTTTCGTTCTTAAGTCAAATAGTTTTTTTTTAAAATAAAAATAATGGCTTGTTTTATTTCTATGTCACCCTAAAGAATGTAATGAGTTACCAAATGGCGGTCTCTTTATTGTTCATATATTCAGTTCATTATATTTGTAAATGTCTCACCATAGTGTTCTTACGTCATGCAGGCAATCTATCTTACAGATGAAAACTTCCGATGCTTTGCTGACGAAAACGTTGTTTAGAAACTCATGGTTATAGTTTTAGCGTTTGGAATAATTAATTATATTTAGTGTTCAGTCTAAGAATTAAAAAAAACAAACAAATATTTTGATGATTATTCGCAACACAAGGGTACATAGAAAGATCTTCAGCTTTACAATTTTATACAGTAGGCATATGTATTCATTCCTTGTAGATATTTAAAAATCTTTTTTCTCTACTTGTAAATCAGTTTTCTATATTTACCTAATTAGTGAAAATAATAGGATTAAACTCCATGGGTGTTAAGAAATTACTTGAAGCTTTGAGCGCCAATATATTCGCATTCACACTTCGTCTCTGTGTCGTGTCCATTGAAGACGTGTGAACTGATGGCTCGCTATAACTTCCTGTGCTTTGTAATGTTTGTCATTTTACTCTCACTCCCAACACCTCAATCCGTCATTTATTCACAAAAGCACGTCAAGTAGGTATCATACTGTTTCTTTATGTCCCTTTCATCTTCTTTATATTCTTAAAGGAACAGCTACCCCAAACCCTCCTTTCGCATTTTATGTCCAAGAATATCTGTCTCCTTCTGATTATTTGTATACGTCTCTTTTTATTTTCATTTTCCTGAAGACAGCCCTCCTTCTATGGTATTCTCAGCATCCTTCTGTGGAACAATATTTCTATTGATTTCAATTTTATTTTCATCGGTTAAGCGATTACATATATGATCGATTAATTCGCTTTCTACGATATATCAACATCTTTTAGGTTATTCAAAACCAAACAATATTTTTAGAATGTAAGAATTTTTGAGGGAGATAATAAAAGTTTAGTGATACAAGTCTTACTAATTAACCCATAGCTGGGAAGAGAAGAGTTGGAATCATACATTTCCCAACAGTATTTGCACGGAAATGAGTTCGAACACCGCTTTTCTACTAACAATTCCGAGTCATTATCCAAGCTTATAGCACCTGGTATTCCCAAGTAGTCACCCATCTAGGGACTAAACAAAGCACGACGTTGCTTAACTTCGGTGATCTTACGGGAAACGGTGTTTCGATGTGATGCGGCCGTAAGCCTAGATTACATATAAGATGACTGATATATAGTAATCTATCACTCTTTTCAAACGAAAATATCCGGTTTCATAATACTTTCTTTAGCTTCTTGGATGGTACGTTTTGCTATTCCACTGCACGCTGGAATGCCATATGTGTGTCAAACTCTCTAAGACCTTCTTCCTCATTACATTTTCTTTCTTATTGTTGTCTCCCTTTTTCTTAAGACTTCCTGTTTGCTTACGCGCTCTGTCCCTCTTATTTTCAGTATCCTTCTGTTGAAGCATATTTATGTGTCCTTGAGTAAGTGTACTAAATGCCATTCTCTTATTGAATGTGGCATATCTACTCACCCAAATGGCAGCGAGTTCTAAACAATGTCCAGAAAGGAGTGTATGGAGAACCAGGCACGCCCACGTTCTAAACCAACATGGCACATAAAACAGAAGAATATGATATAAAAGTAAATTTTGGCCTGTTTCCTTACAGTTGAAGAAGACTCTAAAATAGACGGAGATGTTCTGCAGAAGGATGTTGCGAATAAAATGGACTGAACATATGTGCACCAAGGAAGTTATCTAGAAAATGTGGACTAGAAGATATTTTATATATTATATTATTAAGATTTATATTTTCTAAGATATATTTATTTTCTAAAAAGCAATAAAGCCACTACAACGCAACATATTAGTGAATATGAGGAAAATATACTATTATTAAATAGAAAGAATAATAAAGGAACAGAAATTAAAAAAAGACAGAAAATAATGAGTGACATTAAATTTAACGTTTTCAAGATCAAAGGTCATAGTGAGGCAATAAGCGAGAAGTACGGTAGAAGAAACTGATAGCATAGAACCTACGGTTACCATTTTGACTGTATAATGATGAAACCATGCCGCCAATAAAATACTGCGCTTAAATTCATAAAACCAAGGTACCATAGAGGAAAGTCCGTGAGAACAATAACCATGAAAATATTTATAGAAAATGAATAAGGATTCTTCTTTGGATTTCATCAAGAATCTCAAAATATATGGCAGGGGCACCAGATTTGGCAACAGTATTTCAAAATTAAAGCGAATGCTAGGCTTATAAATATGTACGATTCTAGCGATAAAAAAATTGTCTAACTCGACACTGAACCCAAGTTCCTATTTGCGTTTCAATATAATTTCCAATTCATATCAGGAAAAAACCTTATTCCGCGATAGAATAATAGATTATTCTCGTGTGTAGTGACTCTTTATGTATCCTGTCTTCTTCAATGTGTTGTGTCTCTTCAGAACTTTAACATGGTTAAATTGTCTGTCTTTTGTAGTTAACATGGTTAAATTGTCTGTCTTTTGTAGTTCTTAACATTTTTATCTCTCCTAAACCTTGTTCCGCCATCCATTTACTCAAGTTCACTAGGTAGGTTATTCGTTAAATATGTTACAAATTGTGTTGAGCATCTTAACGGGAAACAGAAAGAGAGAGGAAAATAGAGTCTGTTTCTCTTGCCCTCAATCTGTGCTTGTAGTATGACATTTTCTAGGTCCTGTTTCCTCGTTATATGGGCTAGAATTTTTAACTGTCTCTTCCTGGTGTAAAATATGAGTGTCCTTTTTGTTTCCATTTTCTATAAGCTTTGTCGTTGCTCATATGTTCGGTTTCTATGTATTCTCAGCATCCTTCTGTAGAACAACATTTCTGTTACTCCAAGTTTCCTGTTCATCTCTAGTATTCTCAACGTCGTTCTGTAGAACAATGTTTCTGTTGCATCAATCTTCTCTTCATATGTACGGAGATTGTCGAGCATTCATTGCCATATAGGAGTACTTATATTACATAAGAGTTCATTATTTTGTTTCTCTGGAGATTTTTCTGTTTCTTAAAAATTTGCTTTTGCTTTTGAAATAAATCATTTGCTATCACAGTGCTTCTTCGGATTTCAGTGTCACAGTTTCCGACCTCTGTTAAAATACTTTCCAGATATTTACATTGTTTTGGGTAAATTGTCGACATTTTATAATATTAATTTCGCGCATGCGCGTTGCCTGCTTTTGATTTTTGACTGCATAGTATATTGGACACCGTCTGTGGGGAAAAAAAGGGCCATGACGCAAACGGCATGATTTACTGCTTGGCATTGGCATCGGAAGCTCCAATATAAACATTTCAGAATGTTTGGATGTCAATCTGAGGACAGTGAAGAGGATTCGGAAAGAATGGATAAGTCTAATAATGACTACGATGGTGTTTGGGCTGATCACTAGAGATGGTAGCGTTATGCCTCCATTCATCAGCCTACAGGATTTAAGACTCATCATAGAGGCCTACATCAAGTGCCACAAGAAGGTAGTGATACTCTGGGTAAAGAGGGTGGCTGTTGGTATACCCTGTGTTTGGCAACAGGACTCTGCACCATGCCCCACAAGCAGGAGAATCAAGTAAAACCTCTCAGACAATTTCTGTTACCACATCATCACTTACGCATGGCCACCTAACTCCCCAGACTTCAACCCCCTTGTTTTGTTATGTGTGGGGCGCGTTTGAGCCAGAGATCAACGTAGCACCAATGATAAACTAAAGGCAAGGACTATGTCAGCATGAACCAACTTAAAAAGTAGACAGTTCAGAAAGGTTGCAGAAGATTCCATTGTTGTCTGTAGGCTGTAGTTGAAGACAGTGGCGAATAAGTTTAATCTTTAGTATTTCAAGAAATGTTTGGGTAATTTTTGTATATGTATTTTCTAAAATGAGATATCAGTGTTATTTTAATTTTTGCGTTATTTATACGACAGTTAATCCATCGCACCGTGTATTTGTGGGCATATTCAAACCAATGCTAAACTTTATTAATTTCTGTCTGCGAGTTTACGAGTATGCGAGCATAGGCATTAATCTTATTTGTACCGGCGTGAAATTGTGTGGTTGTAAAATATTTTGTATTTTTCTGTGGAAGAATGCAGTTGACTTTTATTCTAGGATCGAGGTGTTCGTTTTCCTCTTCAGAAATACTTCTATACTTTCTGACATGCTTCCAACACGAATAACTCCAAGAGTAGTTGATCCCCCACCCCCGGAGTCATTTTTGGAATTGCCAAAAGAAACATGTCCGATAAATAATCAACGGATGGATCAGGTATGTTGCGAACAAAAGAAACAAAAAAAATACAAAAAAAAACCCTAAAAAAAAAAAAAGAAAAACGGAAAAATAATTGATGTAAGTTAATAATACATATAGACTTTTCAACATCTTCCTGGCATTAGGCCAACACTGAACATTAAATCCAAAGGAAGTCAGATAAAAATAGAAAGATCTGAGGAGAGAAGAATCAATAGGTGAGAATAAAATTAGCAGGAGAATCCTTATATCTCAGCACAATTTACAAATAAGTGAACATATTGACTGCGTTAAGAGGAATAAATTCCAGAGAGTTAATTTCTGAATAGGAGCAGCTTGCTTTCCCTTAAAACTCAGTTTTCAGCTATCACGGATTTAGCACGAAAACGCACACTGAATTTTGGAATGGTTTCAGATAAAAGAAATCTACATATAAAATAATTGTTAAGGCGTACGATATCACTTTCTTGATCTTATAAGTAAATTTGTGTTATACGTTTACTAGCGGCTTTCGTATTTAATAAATAATGCTTTTTAAATGTCTAGAATTGTTTCCAAAGGGAGGATTCTTTGGTCTTTGCGCTTTATGTACATAGTATTTGGTCATATTTTGAGATTTTTACTGTGTCGTCTGCTTCTATTCGTAGTGGTAAACGGTAGAAGTTTAGCAGGGTTACCAGAGACAGGCGTGTGTTATTGTTGTTATTAAGATTGAGTTCCAGCCGTGAAACCCGGCTTCATCAGGGTTAAATGTGTCATGGAGAGAGCATTTTAATAACAAATGGGGAGAAATTCGGCATAGCACAGGTTGACGCAAGTTTTTCAGGGAAATTGGTTACACGATATTGTTCGGAAAAATACGTAGTTCTGTTAACCCGAAAAGACACATGATTATCTACGGCTGGAGCATATAGATCTTGTTCTACTATTGGTCATGGCAAATTATTTGATCTCATCCAGAAACTGAAAGTTTCGCCCAACAGATATATTTCTTCTGGAAGTATTTTATAACAACAAAGATTAGATGTCCGTGGAGAATGCTGGACAATCTGCCTACAGATGTAGAGAAAACTGGAAGCAACAGTGGTTCTATAGAAGGATTTGGATTTATAAAAGGTTGCTGAAAATCACTTGGACGGATTGAGTAAGCATCAAGGAAATCAGGAATAAAATGGGAACCAAACGAAAACTTTAATAAAGCTTACTACATTTATTTCATGGCAGTTTTAAATCTTTTTGTCATTATATGTTTTTAGGAATTTATTTTAGTGTCTGCGCTTAAACTTTTGTTTATATTATCATCATGTGTAAAAGTGATTAAAGTTATTCTGTAGGCTGACCAAAAGTTACATACTTTTGAGTAAGCGGGTGCTGTTTTTCTTATTTTCGATGTTATTTTTTCTATATCTAATTTGGTTTATTTATTCCCCATATTAACTTTTGACTGTGTTCTCTTTACATATGTGTATAACTAGTGGGATTTCTATAATTAATTTCCTGAGATTCATTTGGATTTTGCCGTAGCTTTGTGTAGTACGTTACTCTGTAGGAAGTTATAATTTTGTGGACACATGTACTGTGTTCTATATTAGTAAATATATTTAATATCCAGTAAACGAAGAAGTTAGTGAATAAGATGTATTTCTACCAATGAATGCTGAAAATGCCATGAACAGGAGAAGTCAGTTACGAAAAATTTCAAAGGACCAAAATTGAAGCTTATAAATCCTCTCCGAATGAGACAGATGAAAATTACTAGTATACATACTGAGGATAGAGGGAAATTAATATATAACAGTATTAGAAAATTCAGAGAACCTTTGAGTATTCCAAAAGTGCTCCTTGCTTTGAGCGTCGTTTAAGAAACAAATTCACTGCAGGCTGCAAGGGGAACAAACTAAAGTTGCT